ACACACACACACACACACACACACATACACACCCAGAAAGCCTCTTGCCAATATGCGTTTTTGCAATTTGCATATAGGCAAAAACGCATAAAAACTAACAATGGGTAAATGTGGACGATGCTCGGTACAGTGTTGCAGAAGCGCAGCACGTCGTTCCACTGGAGGAGCATGCGGTAATCCGGCAAAAGATATCGAAGCTGGACCAACGAGTTGCCTGATTTCTGGATCCGTTTCTGTAAAATTCAGGAAATAAATCTCCGTACAAACTACCAGATTCTGAGCTACACGGATTCTGTTTTCTGATGGAAACCTGCTTGATAACTCTGATTTCTTACGTTTGTATTTTTACAAAAGTTAAAAAATTTTATGTCTAAGTTACGTTTGTGGATGTCCAGCTCTGTTATCTCTAAAAAAAGTTCAAGCTCGGCTTACACTGTTCACGCCAACTACGCCAAGAATTAAATACAAAGGTCGCCGGAGCTCTCACTATGGATATCTCATGTAAGTGATGTTACTGGGATGCTCCCATGCACCCACCAATCCTGGACTGCATACTACCACAACAAACGCCAATTAATAATTTCAAATTGAGGGAACTGGAAACGGTTTTTTCAACACTTTAGCATCTGATACTATTTATAGCATTGAACAAAATGACTATGACTAAATAAAACGATTATAATTAATCATGATTGCAAATAATAAACATAATTATACTGTGACGCAGAAAGTATGACTAAATCCTAAATATTACCTCGCATAGATTTATCCTCATTACTGTCTTTTCTCTGAGGTAACAAACGGCCTCCGAAGAGATGGCGCATACATACCCACGTATGCGTGACACCTGATGTGTGAGAGCATCCTAGTAACATCACTAACATAAGATACCCACGCCAACTGCCCAAGGTGGCCTTTTAAGCATTATTTTTTAGGTAATGTACAAGTAATAGAAGCCAGACTGGAACGCACCGGGCGGGCCTGTGCGATCATGCGTTTTTGCACTGGACTTGAAGTAATCAGGTCAATAACTGTATGAATGGCTGTTACTTTGCACCTACCTTTTGCGGTCACTAGCATAAATCATCATAAATTTTGTTAAATAGAAAAACATTCAGTTAATGACATTCAGTAGAAAAACATTCAGTTTCAGTTAATGAAACAGAAAAACATAAAAAAATGGCGATGTCATCTGCTGTGTTTCTGACACGCTCGGGATCCGAGAAAAGTTTTTATAGACTCAGTCGTCTACTGGTACGCTTTTTCATCCAGATAGTCAAAAATTGGCAAGTTAGCATGCTAAAGATTTTGGAGCCGTTTGTTTCCTTCCAAGCAATGCTCAACTGAAAATCTCGACAAGGGCTTCTACACACCATTAGAAGCTTATACTAGTGACCAAATCCGTGAACAGTTTTTCCTTACCACATAAGATTTACGATCGAATGAATTATCAGAGAGGGCGCGAAAAAGCGATGGGCTGAAGATAAGTTAGTGACCGCTGCATAGGACAGAGGCTATTTCTGCAGAAATATATTTTTAATAGGAGCTGAAAATAAAGCAAATTGTATATTAATTTTATGCTATTTTTACAGTAAAGAATGCGAATTAATAAATGGTAGCCGCGAGAAAGTAACTGATCACTCAAGCAATTGATGGGGTAAATGGATCGAACAGGCGATGGGTACTAACTGGAGAAATGCACAGCCCAGGATCGAAGAGCCTGGCGTAGGGCCTGCGTTGCATGTGTAGGATCATCCCAGTAGCAATACTACTATGAAATATCCACAATGACGGTCCGAGGCGGTCTTGATATTGGTGTTTCTATGGTACCATTTCACAAATCCGCCATATTTACAGCTTATTTTCGAGTTGAAGTGATAACGCTCAAAAGTTTTAAATATTTCTTTTGGAAGAACCGCTGAGCTAATAATCTTTCCACGTGTCGACGAAAATGCTTGGATCACTAATAGCTTGGTATTTAACGGTCAAAATCAGAGCGACTGGAGTAATTTCAACTGAAAAATTGAAGATGGACGTTATGAACTGTTGCTGATCAAAGTATCACAGTATCAGTATGTACTATTCGATAAAAATAAATGGTGTCAGATTGGTGTGATTGCAGGTGCTGATTATTCTCATAATTCAAACACTTCAGTAGGAAAAACAATTTCTAAAATTTTTACCTCCCCATCCTTCCCGTCCACTCCCCTCCCGGCGGAAATGAATCCAAAATTCGCAAAAAAACTGATACGGAATCCCCAAACTACTAATATTCATTTGATATTCGATGTTAAAATACTTATTGGGCTCAAACAAAATTATAAACGCTATTTCAACAGTAGCTACTAGTTAACAGCAAAGTACATGAGAAATATGAAAGACCGAAAACTACAGTACACATAAAAAATTTATATAATTTAGCTGGGATTAAAATGTTTCGGCCCATTAATCTATCTACGTCTTAACTCAGCATCGCAACTGCACCTCGACAGCATTACAGCGGTTATGGCATAAATTATTATTATCACTGTTATTATTGTCATTACAATTACTATACAATTTAAAAAGTTTGATGAGATAAGCGGTAAGCATAATTATAGAAGGTTGGGGACGAAAAGCAGAGCAGGTAACTGCCCCTCAATTCCCGTCTAGAAAACTTAACTCGGTGGTTGCTTGGGTTTTGAGGGAGCAGTCTAGCTTGGAAGATGTAGCAACCATAGCAGCCACAAACTAGCGAGTTATTTCGCCTCTCACACTGAGTAAAAGAAGGTGAAGATTTTTGGCTAATTCATAAATATATTTCCATTCTTTAATATTTCGATCAGCTGTAATTCATACGGCTGTTCTCTGACAGTACTCTCATTTGTAGTCATCACGTACCCACGCAATGCACAATTTTTCCATTGGCTCTAACCCGTGCTGCATAGCCTGGTGGTCAGCGTTTTGCTGGCAGTGCTAACATTCGTTTCGTCGTCTGAGAGGATTATTCGCTAAATTTTAAAAGAAATTTTTAAAAATATGCGAAAAAAAGGCCGTATTTATTAGAAAATTTCTGAATAACTACGACAGACGATTTTACATTCGCTTGTAGCTGACAGCTATTGGTCGCTGGCTACACAACGATATCATAAAACAGGCTGCAGCATCCCGCGATACCTAACCGTATCCGACCTCAATTCCTCCCTTGGTTGTCCCCCTCAAAGCAGCGGCCATGGTGGCAAGTTACCGTAATAAGTGGCGTACCAAATTTGTGCAGTTGATTGTCGACCACGGCTGTCATAAAGCAGCAGCACCGCATCTGCTTCTGGAGGGCACCAGCCACCACGACCACATATCGGGCAGCGGCAGCAACCATAGCAGCCCCGACGTCGGCGACTCCGCCTTTCACCTCGTCTCGGCTCCGCATCCCCCGCCTTGTTCCACGACATGTCCCCGTTGTTGTTGTTGTTGTTGTTGTTTTCGCGCTGTTGCCGCTATTGTCGTGAGTCGTGAATAATGGTGGTGGTGATGGTGATGATGGCGATGATGATGACGATGATGATAACAAAAGTAATGATAAAGCGAACGCAGAAGATGACAGCCCCAGTGTATGCAACATCCGACTAATCAGATAATCCATCCTTATTATAAACAATCACTGATCCTGTTGGGCTTAGGAACAGTCAGAGCATATGGGGTATTTTGAGATTTTGTTCAGTTTCCAAGGCCAAAAAGGCATTTTTTTTTTGTTCCTTTCATTTTTTTTTTCTTTTGAATTCCTACCTTGTGTACTCGAAGATTTAGAATAGACATCTACTGGAACAGATATCACGTTTTGCTTTTATCTTATTAATTTCCAAGTCTTTTACTTGTTGCGTAATAATAATTTATGACGAGGTTTAGTTGTGGCGCTAAGTTAGGATGTATGAAGCTCAATGGACCGGACATTGTAATCTCAGCTAATTTATTAATTTTTTGTATGTAATATATTTTTTTCTTCGATTTCAGTTTTTAATGTTTCCAGCATACTTGTCGTATTCTGCGTCAAGTGCTGAAGGTTGTGACACAGAGACCCGTTGTTACTGAAAAGACGAACGACCAACAAATAACAACGACAAAACTGCCAGCGAACGCAACTCCTTTCTGCAGTATGCTTATGTGCGCGCCAAGTAGTGCACAGCGTTGCAGCATGATCGACATCTGGCGGGTTGCAACGTGACAAATTGATACATTAATCGACATCACACATTTGGCGGGGACTCAACAATACTTCAGACAACACAGCTAAGGGATGAAACACAGACTGCAAACTTAACTATGCATTAGAAAAAGTAATTTTTCGACAATTTTACAAGATATATTTTATTATTAGTTAATATTTATCCTTTTTAAGCGCCATTCATGATAATTCCGCTTAAGCTTAATGTCTTTGCTTCTAACATCAAATAAATGCCCACTGAATCCTGAAGCCTTCTTTTCTCCCAATGAACAATTATTTAGCGAACATGCCACTTTTTA